AGCGATAAGATGCCTAATCATTTCTTTCTGTGAATCTGAAACTTTACTGAACTTGAAAGCTTTTTCGATAGAAGCCAAAATCTTTGGAATGGAGGGTTTAGAGGTTTGGGAGAAGTTAAAATTATATTTTAGAATTCTCTGTTGTTGTTCTTCTGATAAACTAACACTATAAATATTAACTATTGGCTTAATGTTTACAATGGGAAGATTTTTTAGCACTACTTGAACTGGAAGACTGTTAAAGAAGTTTTTCGAATTTAACTGCAAGGGTATTTTTAAGACGGTTAACTACATTCTCCGTTCTAGACCAAAACTTTTGTTCAATGGCAGTGAATTTTGGATATGAATTATCGAGTTCTAGATGAAGCGTATAGAGCTCATGCTCTATTTTGGATAACTGTAATGTTACTGTTGATGTGTATCCCTTATGATGGACTAAGTAAGGCTAGCTTGAAGTTTAACAGAATTCTTGAAATGCGATTGGAAGGCTTTTGATTAAATTTGATTTGAATGAAATTGGGGATCAATTTTTTTTACATTTACACTTAAGTAAAAAGCCAAGGTGATTCAGAAATTTCTCTCGTTTCAGGTGTAATTTAGTGAAACAATTAATGAATGAAGGCATGATAAACAATGCAGAAAATCAAACTAAATTAACTAACCAATAATAAAGCACGCACAAAACAGCAGAAAAATTTCACACTGAAAATGAATAGAAAACAAAATATTTGCAACTAAAAAGCTTGAAATCAGATAAGCAAAGCACAATATTAAAATATGTGAAATGCAAATCAAACTTAAAAATTGCAAAAAAGTACTTACCGAAACTCATGCAATCACAAAAAATGATTACACCACGTGCAAAAAAGGAAGCAAAAAATAAGCCTGTTTGCGGATCAAAAACTCATACAATCACAAAATGATTAAAACCACATGGAAAAATAGAAAGCAAAAAATAAGCCTGTTTGGGGCTCCTATTTTCAATTCTCATCTCAACACACCAAAAGGCACACTCTTGTTTCAGGAGATTATAAAAATTCTGTTGTCATTCCTTTCTTTTCATCAATTAGATATAAAACTGCACCTAAACAGAAATTTAACTTTTGGGTTATTTATTCTCCCATCAATAAAATTCTGAGTTCCATAATCAAGGACCCCATTCCGGATAGGAATTCCTGGGGTATTTACAGGATTCCTTGCCAGTGTGGTTTAATTTACATTGGTCAAACTAAGAGAGCCTTAAAATTTTGCGTTAAGGAACATGAGGCATATGTTAGAAAAAAAAAAAAAAAACACAGAAGCCTTCTGTTGCCCAGCATTGTTGGTGCGAAAATCACACTTTCAATTTTTCTGCTGCCAAAATTATTCAATAAACATCTTCCATTGGTGAAATGGATTTTCTAGAGGCTTATCACATTCAAAAAAATTTCTCTCTTTTAGTTAACGATCTTAATTCCAATCCATCTTTGCCATCAGCCTTTTAAGAAATTATGTTTTAGTCCTGGTTTCATCAGCAGATGGAGCCAGTAGATTGACTCCTATCCATACTATCTTATCTTGTTCATTTGAGCTTTTGCAGCTAAGGATGATGGTTCGGTAAAACCAATGAAACTAGTTTTGTGAAAATTTAAAAATATAACGCTGATTTTTTGTTGTTTCTAAATTAATAAATGCAGTTTACCTAATCTTTTTTACTTGGCACACAAATTTATTATATATGCATTTACTAAATGAATTCATTATATACTATATTCATAAAATGTAATTACAGGTTTTACTTCCTTAAATATTAACCTTAAATCTATATTTCTATTTGCTATATTTGTTAAAATAAAAGAGAGGATCTGGAAAAAAAATTCTGACCTGTGCATGAACGGTTTCTGGAAATGTAAATCATTTTACCTGATCCTATAAACCACAAATTCCAATTAATACATTAAGTTTTAATTAATCAAAATTCAGAAAATTCTTTAAATTTATATGGAAAATTCATAGAGATTTCCTTCGTAAATATTACTCAGAGGTCAGCTAAAAATTTAATAGGAATACTATTTTACCCAAGACAAAATCATTAGTCAACAAAACAAGAAGCCTTTACCTAGCAATTTTTGCCATGTTCTCAAGACTTTAACCAAAATTCGTGTGATAAAATAATGCAAATCAATAAATTTATTCATAAATATACCTGCAAAATGTGCACATAGATGCATGAAACTTTTTGTACTTTTAAAGACTGGAATTTTGATCTGCCAGGACCATATAAGAAGAAAGAATCCTTCCAAACTTAATGCATGCAAACTTTGTGACTGACTGAACTACTGCAGCAGTGGAGTTATTATTTATGTTAAAAGAACTTAACCTTCCTGTCTCATAAATGAAGCCCAGGGTTTCGAACTTGTGATTGTTTGCATTTGTCTCCCTATTTATCATGATGTTCATTTATATCCTTCTACAGTTCCAGCAATAGAATAAGTAAAAGATTACTTGAGTCCCTGCAGACAACCCCACCATCCTGACTGGGGACCTTAATGCTAAACACAGTGCTTGGAATTGTTGTCATACTAACTTAAATAGAAAAGTGCTGCACAACTATATCTTAAATAGCCCTGAGACTATTTATGCTTCTGAGTGCACTTACAGGCCAAGCCATCTGGAAAGATCAGACATCCTATATATATAGCCCTCTTAATGACCACCATTACCATTACTATGGTCGTTAAACACAAACTGAGCTCCAATCATCTACCAGTTATTGCTACGCTAGGTGTTGCAAAACAAGTTGCCAATAAATCTGAAAGCTCACAAAATACTGTTCAAAAACTTAATGCAGGACAATCCTCCACTCTTCAATAAACTCAGCAGCACTGAAGATATTGATTGTGCATCCAAATCACTTAATAATCATATCAAATGTGCTCTTGCCTCTGAAACTGTTATGTGTAGAGGAAAAAAAAAATCTTCAAACTCCCTTCCCATATTAGAAATCTTATTCATGATCAAAATGGGCTTCAGAAAAGGTATCGTGTGACCTGGAACTCCGACACAAAACAGCAGATTAATAAACTTAGTAGGGACATCAAGCAATTTATTAAGCAGCACAAGATGTGTGGACTGAAAACGTGATGAACTTTACGGTACCATTTGGTCTATAGTTAAAAATCTGAAAAGAATCTTTTCTAGCAATCAAGCAACTATTCATGCCAATCGTGTGCCCGGTTGACTTTTTCGACTTCTGTGTTCACAGCTCACAAAGGGGGGAGGCTAATGGCTCCATTCACTGAGGTAAACTACAGACAGTCATTCTCCTGTTCCTTAGCTTTAATGGCTTTCTCTTTCCTTTTTCTTTAGCAAATGTTTTCTCTCAATTGTTTCAAATTTTATTTAACAAAGATGTGCAGGTAAAGTACTCCAGAAACAAAATGCCTTGATCCCAATCTACTATAACAATCAAACCGCCTTCTCACATCAAGGGAAAGACAGCATCTTCGGTTCTCACCTGGAATTTCACCCAACTTGTGGCCAATTGACAATGACTTTGAACCGAACGACAATTTGAACTTTTATTAAAAGTTTGCAATTGGCTAAATGCATCAACGGCATGTAATATCCCTGACCTCGGCATATCTACTGGAATTGCAGCAATCATTAAAAAACTAAAGATTAAAAAAGCACCTGGAGTTGAAGAAATTTCCAAAACTGCTATAAGAAATCTGCCTAGAAATGTTTGTAAGTATAATTAACACCTCTCTTATGAATTCTTACTTTTCTAACTCTTGAAAAATTGATAGAATAATACTTATCCCAAAATCGGAAATGGATCATACAACACCTGATAGATACAGATCCATCAATGTGTTACTGGGACTTGGGAAAATTTAAGACCATGTCATTTTTGGCAGAGAATGAACTGCATTTACTTCCACCCGAACAATTCAGTTTTAGAGAAAAACTATTGACAACAAAGCAACCTGTGCTCATCATCGAGTTTGCAGGTGCAGCTCTCCACAAGCTTAATGTCGCTCTCCTCATGGTGGACATGGTGAAGGCCTTTGATCGCCTCTGGCATGAGGAACTTATCTCCAAGCTTATCACAGTTTGGATAGAGATCTGATTTTTCTTATTTTGTCCTTCACCTCTGACCAAAAGTTCAAGGTCTCCACTGAGAGAAATCTCTCTGGTGGTCTGCCTCAGGGTTCAATTATTGGGCCTATTTTATATCTTTTCTATATTGCTGACTTCCCAAATCCCACTAGCAGCCATAACTCTTTGTTAGCATATTACACAGATGACAACGCTTTAGTGGTCAAGTCTGCTAACCTCAACCATGCCATATGCAAGCTCCATGAGATTATTCCTTCCATTGAAAACTAGTGCTAGGGATGGAAAGTTTGCATTAATGCAACGAAGTCCCAATTACTTCTTATAAAAAGTAGAAGACATCCTATACACCTCAAAAAACAACTAAAACTTTTCAACATTCCTGTTCAGTTGTTGAGAAAGCTAATACTTACGTGTTAGAATTAATGATCCCCTTACCTGAACTGACCACATATCCTATATACATTAATGCATACTACAACTAGCATAAATCTGCTGATTAACACATCTTGTACTGCAAAAGTGTGTAGAGTGCAGTAAGCTATGTTAAGCAGGTTCATTGTATTATATAGTAAGGTATTTCTATCACACTTGAAAGTACAGACTTACTTAATAAATTTAATAACACTAGTGTGAAAATTCAGAAATTGATGCTCTTGGTAGCCTTTAAGTTGTTTACTAATTATCCTACTAATTTTAAAAAGCATTATCTCTTAAAAAGTTCTTTACCTTCTGGCTGTTGAACAAATTCTTAACAAGATTCCACAGTATAGTAAATGAAGATGAAAGGCTCACGTATTTAAACTAAACAGATTCATGAACAGAAAAATTATCATTAATTCTAATATATCACTTCAGATTTTAAAAAGCTAAAATAACATAAGATAATAGATTATACTTGCTTTGCTTTTATAAATACTGCAGCTTGTTTCCATAAATTCAATGACATCATGACTTCTTCTCTTCCAGTAACTTTTTGAATAATATTTTCCTGTGGAACTAAATTTATGATCATTTCTGATGATGTAGTTATACTTGGGGCTTGGGCCTGTATTCAAAGAAAGCCAAAACTTATTTTAAGAAAATGTTTCATTTAAAAATGCCATCTTTGAAAAAGAAATACTAAAAGCAAAGAAACAACATGTTTTTCTAAAGAATTCAAAGTGTTGGTAATAAATATATTTAGTATGATAGTATATTTAATTTGCTAATGACATTTTTAAGCACTGAAAATATGTTGAATTAATTCAGTTTTCATAACTAAATAAAGCTTAAAGCTGAAATATTGGGTTTTACTGAAAGTTTCCCACCACCACAAATATCATCTGCTCAAACGGTTCGAGTTGCTGTGTTTAACCATATTTTGTCAAATTATTTTTGGCATTTGAGAGAAAGAGACTTGCTTTAGAACACTAAGTTGTGAAATTTGTAAAAAAAAAAAAAAAAAAAAAAAAGTTATAATTGCACAAGGTGTCTGAAATGGAATTATCATGTTACCAGATTAGAACCATCATTTGCTTTCAATTCGGATGCAAAAAGTCAGCTACAGAATAACACCAAATCATGTGCACAACTTTAGGTACTAATGCTGTATATCTGGCACTGTGAAGGTTTGGTAGCGAAAGTTCGAAAATAAGGATTATGGCATTCAAGGGCCTGCTGATGTTGATGAGGCCTACCTGGGAGAACTTGTGAAAGAAGATCAGTATGCAACCACTTGAGAGCTTGCTAAGGAGTTAGACATCAGTGCCACATCCACTAGTTGAGCTATGCATCACATAAACTTGAAGTACAAATTCAAATGCTGGGTGCCACATGAGCTGATAAGGACACACATGTTCGGGCATGCACTAATCTGCTCGAATATTAACGCAAGGACAAAATTCTCGACCTGATCATCACTTGTGACGAAAAGTGGATTTACTTCTACAACACAGGCCAAAAAGGGGTTAGGTCTGCTCTTAGTGAGCCCATCCGCAGTGTTGCAAAGTGCAATTTGACTAACAAAAAGATCTTGCTCTTTATCTGGTGAGACTGCTGTGGAATTATCCACAAAGAGTAACTGGAAAAAGGTTAAGGTGTGCAGCGAGATGCTAGTTCGTGTTGATGTTGCTATCAAGGAAAAACACTGGACCAAGTTCTGGCTCAAAAAGGTAATGTTCCATCAAAATAATGCAAGACCACATGTGTCTGCATTCACCGGCTGGACTCTACATGGACTCGAATAAGATCTTTTGCTACACCCACCATATAGCCGTGACATTGCTCCTTCGGACTCCTACCTTTTTTCACATCTGCAGCTACATCTTGGTGGTGCTATCTTTCATTCTATGCAGAATGTCCAAAATGAGGTTGATTTGTTTTTGGACTCACGGCCACCAAGTTTCTGGGCTGAAGGCTTAAAAAAAAACTACTAAAACATTGCCAGAAAATCCTAGATTCGGGTGGTGATTACTACCCACACTAAAAGTACTGCTTTCATGTTTTCGTTTCTACCTTTATTAAGAATAATTTGGGGGGGGGACTTTCATTACAACCAGATAACATGTAATACCACCACAATAACAGTACAAACATGCCCCAATTTTGATGGAGAACACCCCCCAAAGGATGGATCCCAGTTCACCCAAATGAATATGTGTCTTTCCCAATAAATAAAAACTAATAGAAAATACAAAAACTTTCTTCTAAATTTTAACTTGGTTTATTGCCTCCTATGATGATAAATGACAGATATGTTATAAAAGCCCAGCAATGAGAAAATAACAATTATAATATTCAACACAATAGCATATGTACATATCTTTCACAATTCAAAAAAATTAAGCAAAATAGCACAAAAATCTTCCAGTTATTCCTTGACCAGATGTGTTTTAATCGTAGTAAGACAACATGTAATAAATATAGCTGACAAACACTAGAGTGACTTAATTATAGTAAGACCAGACGTGTTAGTGGTATTTTATTAAGTTGAAAAAAGCATTTATCGGGTGAAGCAGTATGTTGCCAAGTAAATACTTATGCGGCAACTCAGGTATGCACATGGCACTTGCCTGTTTTGGTAAAAATAGATTTCTGTGTACATGGAGAGAACAGCAGCATAAGAAAGAAACCCAAATATGCCCTTAGCGTATCAGTTTGAGGTGCACAATGTCAAGTTTGTGTAATACTTGGATGTTTGCAAAGAGAAAACAAATCACTGTGCATATGGGAAGAACAATAGTGCAAATGAGAAGGATTTCTTTTAAGCGTTTTATTGCCGACCAACGCTTCTTGCTTTTAAAATTTTATTGATTTACTGCTCTTGTATGGAATTCTTAGTGTTTTGCTGTTTTGAAAATGGTTGTACACCTTGCGCGTGCACACGCACACACAAAAAAAAAAAAAAAAAAAAAAAAAAAAAAGAGGATAGTTCTATATCTTGTGTTCTACTGGACCAATTGACAAAATTTAATTTTCATTTTACATGTCTCGAAAACTCGACTTCGGCTATATATTAGATTTATATATAGCATTGTTCTAATATAGGTATTCTGACACAAACTCAGACTTTTCTGAAATGCAATACCAATTTTTTCCCTATTTCGATTCTTTGATTCAAATTATGCCAAAGTAGCAAGTTCTGTAATAACTGAGTGAGTTGTTTTTAAAAAATTAGCTCTCAAAATTTTAGCTTCTCAGTGTAAATTGAATTTGCTATTTATTAAACATTCTTGATTGTTTTTTCTCACAATATCGATATTTAGGTTCAGATAAAATTCACAGTTATTTCCTGATTTATTTTTAACATTTGTATATTTTAGTATTTTTTATAAATTTTTTGAAAAACATTTTGAATTGCAAACTATAAAACTTTTACACCACCTTAAAAGTAAATGTATTTCTATGCATACCTACAAAAAATTAGAGTTTTGTATTGAAAATTTCCATAGATATACATGAATTTATATATTGGCGCATTTTGAAATTTGGCATATTTGTTAATAGCTATAGTAATGCAAAATGTGCTTTACACACTTTGTTAAAATTATTTGAAAGAATGAACAATGCACAGTTTTTCCACTTGTGCACAGTTAAAAAAGGGAAAGGAAAAGAGATTATTATAAATTAAGAATTTTGCCAAGTGAATTATTCTTGGCACAAACTGAAAATGTGCACCAAGATAAACTTTTAAATATCTCAGGAAATTTCTCACTAAATTTTACAAAATTCAGGCATAATTTGAGTTGTACGATTGAAATATGGGAAAAAAATTGGTATGTCATTTCAGAAAAAGTCTGACTCTGTGTCAAAATAACTATGTTAGAACAATGTTATATATTAACCTAATATATAGCCTAAATCGCACTTTTGAGATATGAAAAACGCAAGCTAAATGTTGTCAATTGGCCCAGTACAGCAGGATATATAAAACGATCCCCCCCCCCGTTTTTTTTTTTTTTTTTTTTTGTGTGTGTGCAAAGTGTACATCAGCTTGGTGAAAAATTAGTCACCAGCAAGTTCATGAATGCTCTCTCAAGTTTGTGAGTTTTCGATGAAGGGTAGAGATTATCAGAAATTATCCATAAATATACTATAACTTTATAGCTTTGAGTCGAACATGTAAAATATAAATGAGTGAATGTGAGATTTACTAAAGACAGAAGTCAATAAAATAAGAGAATAAACCAACTAAAATATTAAGTCATACTTTTAAAAAAAACCATATGAAAATGGATATATAAATCTTAATATTTTATAGTCTGATATAGATAGTTTGTTTATTTCCCAAACTTATGCATAAAATATCACAATTTGTGATTCTTAATTAAAAAATAGTAATCAGATAATAGCTTCTCAAGATAATGATCAAATTAACACATTTATAAGGAAAACTATTACAAATTATAAGAATTTTCTTTTCAAACTATGAACAATTTAAAAATTAATAGGAAAATTTACTTCTTAGATAGATATTTATGAAAAGAAAAATTTGACTGGAAAGAGAAATTTGTATATATGCACACAAAGTAAAGCAAATAATGAGCTAGAATTTAAATACTCATCAAAGCTTTAAAAATTCAAAGATGTATATCTTAGATTTGGTTAGGCCTAATAGATTTTAGAGCTTGTAGTAATATATTTAGTTACTATTTAGACTAAATGAATATTTAAAAAATGATAAATAAAAAATACATTTATAAAATGTATGTAATTTTCAATGAATAAGGTTTAACTTTTATTTTAAAATGAAATTACATAGAGATGGTAGTTCTATTACCTAATAAATCAAATAAATGCAAATAAACCTAATAAATCAAAACATTTTAATGCTTTGAGTTTTGTTCACATTTAAAATAAAAATTAAAAACCAAGAATCAATGATACATAAATCTAATCAACAAACATTCGAAAACTATTTAAGTGTAAAATGTACATACTTGATCAGGACCAAAATTGTTTTGATAGAAAGTTCTTCGGCAATTATGTTTATTTTTCTTAATTGTAGAGCCATGTACTTTATACTGAACTTCACATAATCCAGAAACATCTAACTAAAAATCATGTGAATGAAAAAACACAAAAAACCAAGCAAGCATGAATAAACAGAGAAAAAAATTAAAAATATATACTAAACCTAATTAAAATGAAACAATAAGATTAATAAAAGGAAGAAAATGTGCTACAAACTAGCATTGCCTAATATACCAACTTATTAGAACTGTGAATTAATATTAAGTGGGTCTACTGATAACCTCTTATTAAAATTATATTTTGTAACCATTCTTATCACTTCAATAATGAGAATTAAAATTAAGAATGGAAAGATTATTTTTAATTTGATCAACATTTTATATAAAAATTAATATTTAGACATAATCAAATTTAATTTTTGGACAATCTTGAAAGTGAAATAAATCTCCTATATTGAAAGCATTATGCCTAATAATTTGAAGTCAGGAAATACCAAACATAATCTGTTATGTTTTATCCATCCAATGTAATTAAGATAGAATTTGTGGGTTATAATGCAATAAACCCTCAAAGTCTATCTTGCATGGCACTGAATGAATCATTATTGTTACATTTTCAGTTCACATATTTAAACCCAAAAAGCAGAAAAAATTTCATTTTATTCAACAAAATGATCTGCATGAATACAGCTCAGGTGGTAATAATTCTGAGTAATTTTATTATCCTCAAAAATATTCTGAATAATTCTCAAAAAACAGGAACAGAATTAACAATGCATTATGCAGTCTTCAAGAATAATCAAAGATACTTCTGCTAAGCATTGATTTTAATTCATACTATGCTATTTTACATAAAGTTCTAAATGCAAAAAATACTCATAAACCATAATTCAGAAAACAGGCACTTGCAGCTAAGTAGTTTAAAAACTCAAAAAACAGTCCATTCGGATTCAAATCTGAATTCCTACACTGCATCTGAACTGAATATGGTCCAATCCGGATCGTTCAGTTTTTTAATACAGATATTGACTCACGAGTTAATGTTATTTCATTACAGCCCTAAATGATTAGTATGAAGCTTCTTAGGAATAACAAGTAACAGCTTCTAAATAGTTCCACCTAATGATAAACTCTGCTGCACTTTCATTTCACATATCTACAGATGAATGACTAAAACAGAAGCAAAGATTTTATTTATTTATTATTTATTTTTTTTTTTTCCAAACAAAATGAGACAGCATGTCTTAAAATAATAACTGTTAACAGCTTTGCATAATTTGATTATTCTTTAAAAATACAGCACAATAATATGCAGAAAAAGAAAACAGAATCAACAGAATTTATCAAACAATGATTATCTAATCACAAAATCACTATTTTGCATGAAATTTCCTAATGCAACACTAAAGTGACATCATTAATTAAGAATACTAGGAAATGAAAGAAATCAAACTAAAAAGAGGTGGTCTTTTGAATGGTTTTTAACTAGAAAATTTAGAAGTACCTGCAACTATGGATGTGATTGTTACTCTGACAATCACATCCATAATTTCAGCTTAGCTCCAAGCATAGGCAACATAAGTAGCTGTCATAGTTGCCAACTTAATTGTTCTCACAAGGGGAAAATATAACAGCATACTTCTTTTTGAATTATTAATGCACTTAATTTACATGATGTGCAAAAGATATTGATTGTCTAGGGCACCAAAACTATTAAAGCCAGGCTGGGTGACTGTGATTATTTACTTATCTCAACTTCTACATAAAAACTGAAAACTGATATTGTTAAAACCATGGCTAGGGGGAAGGGGTTGCAGCAAAGATTAAGTTATTAATTCTATAGATATCCCCATGATAGGAAAAGTCAAATAACAATGAATGAAGAAATTCTTAAAATAGAAACAAAAATTCAGAGGTGTGGCTAGAGGGGGGCAAGGGGACATCTGTCCCCTTGCCCCCCTCTAGTCTAGTTTATAGAATTAAGTATTTTTGATTCTTAGCAAACAGGAAGGGGCAAAACATCTTCAACTGTCCCCAGGCACTGAAAACATTAGCTATGATTCTGCAGAAATTGCTGTTAACAAGAAAGCAAACAGCATAAAACTGAAGAATTAATGCAAAGAATTTTAGATGGCAATTATTACTGACAGTCACAACTCTAAATTATTTCGAAAAAATTACTCAACAATGATTTTCTAGGGTAAGACAAAATTTCTTTCTAATTAGGAAGTTATGACTGTCAGAGAAGTTCTTGTATAGAACTGGATTAAAAGGTTTGGAGTTCCTTTTCTATTTCAATCAAATCAGAAAATAAATTTAATTTCTATTATTTTCAAAGACAATACACTTCTTGAGATTCAAATTATTCCTTTATAATAATTAATGACCAAATGGAATGATTTAATCATATGATTCAGAACTGGACCATTAATGAGAGCACTGAATTTATCCTACTGTGAATGAATTGCGCTTGTTATCATCAGTCTTCACTCTTTAGTTGACACCCAAATGGCCATTTTGCACGATACTAAATATTACTGTGGCTGCACTTGGAAACAAATTATTTTTCAGAGAAATATTAGTGATTAAAAGATAAGTGATAAGAGATCATATAAGTCATTAAAAATCTGAAGATTCAAAACAGCATGATAACTAATAAAAAAAAATTCACGGAAGGAAGCAAAACCCATAGTGCAACCCAAAATGATGAAAAAGAGTTTCTCCCAAATTTCATATATCAAAGAAATGGCTTCATCATTAAAAAAATCAACTTGATTTTATTCTAAACTACTAATACACTATACAGTACAAAGTCCATAATCCGGACTCGTCGGGACTTTGGCGATTCTGGATTAGGGGTTTTTCCAGATTATAGATCATCAATTTAAATCTGGTAAGATGGCATGCAGAAATTATACAGTTAAAAATATGAAACCATAATTTATGAAATAAAAAGCAAATATGATCGAAAGGGTATCAAAATTTACAAAAAAAAAAAAAAAAAAAAAAAAAAAAAAAAAAAAGAGCTTAATATTTATTTGTTTACTTTATTAAACATTTCTATCAATGTAAATTATTTAAGTTGCTTTGTTTTTTGTGCTAATACTTTCTCTTTAATTCTATAAACAAACATAATTTCTTCTTGTTCAGTTACAAAGTTCCACTGTTCAAGCCCTGTAATTGCTGTGTCGAGAATACCGACTAACTTGTCAATCGAAATTCTTTCGTTTTCAATAACCTCTCTGTCATTTTTTTCACTATCGGAAGCGCACATGTGTAAACACTTTATTGGCTTTATGCGCATGGGTAGCGGATGTGCGCATCAAATGCGCATGCGTAAACGCTTTACGCGCATACGTAAGTTTGTGGCTTTGAGGTCCGGATTATAGATCATTCTGGATAATGGACGTCCGGATTACGGACTTTGTACTGTAGTATATTAATTATATAACATGATGGCATTCTGAGATAATTCCTGTTTCTTAGGTTTGCAATGTTTTGAATATGCCAGCCTAAATGAAAAGGATACTATGAAATTATGTAAATAGTTTTATTATATGTAAAGTACTAGAAGATATTACTTTTAAAATGTCATTTCTATGCTTGCTATATTTACTTTGTCATACATAATTCATTCTTTCCATTTAAACTGTGTACATCAAGAATGAAATACATCATATCATTTTAAAATTTTTTAAGGTTTTTACAATTTTTAATACAGAAACTAGATTTAAAAAAACTAACCAGCAAAACTTTCATAATATTAATAAACTAGACATAATTAAAGATGGAAAGGCATAACAAAATTAAATTAATTTACTTCTGTATTTAGTAGCCTCATAAATCTGAAAATGCAATTTTATGTGTAGTTAAATTTCAATATTATATAAATTTGTTATTATAAAATGCTCAATATTTTTATAATGTTTCATATTCCAGGATATATATACATACATAAATAGTACCCTATAACTTAATATTTAGTAGGTGGGGGAAAAATCTTTTTGATCTATGAAATTTTTACCAGATTTAATATGTACTAAATATAACAAGAATCTATTATTTAAATGATAATATTTATTACAAAACACATTTTTTCAATTTACCTCTTTAACAGGATTATTAGTCACATGCACTTGAAATAAGCTAGCTAAGCCTTTCTTAATATTTGTTAAAGATGGAGAATCTGGCAACAGATATACTTTCTTAACTATTCCTTCATGCCAATGAATGTAAATTGGAGGATAAGACAAATTATCCAATTTTGACCAGTGTCTGTTGATTCCATCAGTAGAATGCATAGTTGATGAAACATGCAATTCTGGCTTGAGTAACTGTATGGATAAAAAATAATTAGTTTTTGAAGTAAATGAAAATTTGAAAAAAAAAATATAACATCATGGTTAATTCATGAGCAATAAAATGTTATTTATATAATCTCTCTGAAACAACTAACTGTTTAAATTATTAAAAAGAGAGAAGCATAAAATAAAATTTCTATTAATACTAATAATGTATTTAATTAAAGTAAAAAAAATTTAACTAAACTATAAATTCAATCTTATATTGCATGAATGTTAAAAAAATAACAACAACAACACTAAAAAATAGTAGTAATCGGATGTCTTTATGTTAGAGTCTAATGTTAAAAACATCATCAGTATTAACATACATTTATTAAGCACACAAAAGGAATATGGTAAAAATATATGTAGTAAAAGAACTATAGTAACAACTGATGAAAAAAAATAATGTTGCCACAAAAAAAACGAAAGTATGTTGCTACACAGGTTACAAAAATATAATCGGAAATATAATCACAAATATAAGTTATTTGCAACCCTCCCCCTTGATTACATTTCCCTCAGTCCTGCACTGAAATTTTGTTATAGTACAAGGTTTTCTTTTGCACACTCTTAGTCAACATGTCTGCTGCATTTGAACTGGAAGGCACATAGGTAAAGTTCAACAACTTCTATCTTAAGAAAAAATGCCGCAGTTCAATATGTTTGCTGCGCTCTGAAATAACATGGATTTTAGCTAAAAAAATGGCACCCTGATTATCAACAAATATGTTTTGTGGGAAGTTCAAAAAATGTTCTCCAATAAATTCTTGCAAAAATTTTTGGAACCACAGCATGGCTGCATGGCACACTGAGAAGTACTCAGTTTCAACTGTTGCAAGGCAAAATCATCTGTTGCTTCCTACTGCTCCATGGGATAGCTTTATCTGCTAGCAATACAACATAGCCATTAAATGATTATCTATCGATCTTATCACCAGCCCAGTCGGAATCACAGAACACTTCCAAATTCTTTGGATTGTTTTAGGTTCCGAAGAATATGTTGTTTGTCAGCCTAATGTTCCTTGCTGGGATAATTATTGAACTGGCTCATGTAAGTGGTAGCAAAGGCTAAATCAGGCTTTGTTCCTCTTGCCAGGTACAAAAGTCCTTCAACAGCCCGCCTACATTTTAGTGCTCCTTCAGAATACAACATGTTATCTTTAATAGCCTTGTGCATATTTCATAACTGGATTTAATGGTGTTGATGCTCCTTTAGCATCTAGTATATTGGTTGTTCCCAAGAGCTCACTATCACAGACATTTTGACCGAGAGTCACTGAGCCATCTTCCCTTCTCCTTATTCTTACTGAAAAACGGTGATGTATTTCTCCCAAATCTTTAATTATAAATGCGGTTGCAATACTGTCCTTAAATTTCTGAATGATGGAGACTTTGCAGGATGTTACACAGAGGTCATCCTCATACACACCTATGATTAACTCTTTTTCCTCACTGATGTAAACACAAGGGTCTTCTCTGGATCTTGTTAAGTTAGCTGACTTCAGAAATTTATCACTAAAGCAGACGTTCCTTTCTCTTCCAGACTAATGAATTCCATAAAGACATGTCTTTAACAAGCAAACTTCTCCATGTGGTTTCTTGTGCAGACTCACTGGTGGCTGTTCCATGAAAATTGTTTCACTTAATTTTCCATTAAATAGGCTTTAGTAATATCCAACTGATGAACCTGCCATTCTTGCTCAACTGAGAATGCTAATGAAGTTCTAATTAACTTTGTTTTTATTACAGGAGAAAATGTCTCCTTGTAGTCAATTACTTAAACTTGCGTGTAGCCAAGAGCAACTAAATGAGCTTTATGTCTTTCCACCTGTCCATCTTTATTACGTTTTCTCTTGAAGACCCACTTGCATTTCACAACTTTCCTTTTTTTTGGCCAAGGCAATACATTTTCATTTCCTTTTAAATTTTCCAACTCTTCTTCCATGGCCAACTTCCATTTTTCTGCCTCTTGGACTAATTAATGCCTCTTCCAAAGTTTCAAGATATTTCTGAAAAATCTTTCTTGGGTGTTGAGTATTCACATTCCGTTTCTCAAATTATCAGCTGCACTGCATTCCACTTATAATTCCTTTTATTTCTGGAGGATTTTCTTCATAAATTTCTGAATTATCCATGATATAATCCTTTGTCTTTAGGTGCTGAAATTTGTCTTCTGGATCAAGTCTCCTTTTCTGGTATATCCTCCACTTCCTCTTTTTTTTTTATTCGGAGACTTCATCTGTTCTTACTTTATTTTTAACATCATCTTGAGATAGGTTTCTTTTGGAAACTTTTTGGAGGGACAGTGCCATAATATTTTCTGTCATGGAAGGTTTCTCTTCAAATATGACATCTCGGGAACAAATTACTGTGCTGGTCTTCCTTGATGCAAATGCTGTACCTCATCTCCATCATACTCAAGGGATGATAACCTTTAGTTGCTTTTTTGTTCTTCTTTCCCCTCTTCTGAACTGGAACATGAGCATAGCGAGCTGATCCTATAATGTGCATATGTTTTATTCTAGGTTTCTTTCCCATCTATAATCCATAAGGACTTTAATTAGGAACTGAAGACTTGTCCATCCTATTCAGTATGTAAACTGAAGTGCTGATGAACTCTGCCCATAGGAAAGCTGGAAAGTCCATTTCTTCATTCGAACATTTGAGAGTTCTGGCCATTTCAAGAACTATTCTGTTCTCTCGTTCAGTGCTGCCAATTTGTTCTTTGTTCAGTGCTGCCATTTTGTTCTTTGTTCAGTGCTGCCATTTTTGGTGTATATATAGAGCTATGAGCCTCTGCAAGATTCCATGCTTGTTCAAGATCTTTCAAACAGCTTAGTTGTCAAACTCTCCACCACTGTCACTGGAGATTTAACTAAAGTTTAACTTTATGCCCTAAGTTCTTAACAACAGTTCTTTCTCTTTTGATTACTAAGAAGTTCTCTTTTGATCACTAAGAAGTAACCAACTCAATTTGAAAGTACGATAACTGGAAGGAAGAGTATCCATTATTTTAGAATTAACAGCATTTCTGAGAGTCTGTTTTCTTCCTTATTTTGAAGTCCATTGTTCAGTTTGTTCAATAAATTTTTCAATTTTCATAAATGAGCTGCCATATAATCATCTGACCAACTGAATTTGAAGGTCTGCAAACATATGTAGTAAAGTTGGTTATTGGATGAATCTTCAAATATTTTGCAAAGTTCGAGCCAAATTTCTTCTGTGCTGTCAAATATCATTATCTTTTGTAAAGTATCTTCAGTTATGGAGTTCATAAGAACCATCATAGAGCAATTATTGGCTTTATTTAAACCGTCACATCATCTCTGTATCTCTTTCAAATCTCTTCAGCGACGGCTTGATCAGCCTTTTCAATTTTCTTTCTATAACTTCAATAGCATCTTCACGATAACTTAATATGAATGGAATTCAATATTTCCAAATAGGCCAATAACTTTTTCTGCATAATGGCTTAACTGATATCTTTCTAACTTTTTGCAAACTAACATTTTTGTAAACTAATTTGCCAACTTATGTGAGGCTTAAGAACTGCCATGTTAGGCTTACAAACTGCTGCTTACTTTTTATCTCCACTTTGCTTTAAAATTTTTTCTGCACAGTTAGAGCATTCTTGGCCCATAATCTGTTACAGTCTAATGTTACAATGGCGACCAAAATAAAAATCATCATCTGTATTAACATATATTACTAAGCACACAAAAAGAGTACAATAAAAATACACATAGTAACAACAGATGAAAAAGAAAACATTGCTACACAGAAAACTGAAAAGCGTGTTGCCACACAGGCTGCAAAATACAATGACAAATATAACCACAAATATAAAAGTTATTTGCAACAGTTTATAGTTGAAATATTACAGAAACTCGAAACACAGAACTTAAAATTATACTAAAACAAACTACTGATTTTAATACATTTACATAAAATGATGACTGTAATAAATAAATAATAGTAAACTATTTATATTGTTAGTATCCATTTTAAAAATAAGAACTCTGATGCAACAAGTTTTAATTTTGTTTTCAAAACATCATTTCCTCTGTCTCTAAATGAATGTAAAAATAACATTATACTTTTCTATTTTTAGTTCAGACTTTCTAATTACTCATATTATTTTTTAAAAACTTGACTATATATCTAACATAAATTTACTATGATGCACAACAGAAAAAGTAATAACCTCCAGTTTTAGCAATTTCTCCTTTGGATTATCAGAATTTTCCCAAATATTGGAAATTAGAAATTCAGATGATACTTTGTAGCCAACATTTCTGCCCACAGCAGCACTTCGACTGGTTATGTTAGAATCTTCATTTACGAGAATTGTAAATTGATAATTGTATTTATAAGACAGTCCTGTTTCATACTGAAGAGTTGATACTGAAAAGAACGGGGGGAGATTAGTGATGCTGATAGGAACAGTAAATTTAAAAAAAGTGTGTACATATTGAATATTTCAATTTTATATATATAAAGTAAAATTCTAATAACACATAAATATAGTAATCTTGAAAGCCTCTAAAAAGTAGTACGATCACTACATATAAAATCAAATGATATATAACTTACCATGAAGTTATTTATCATAAAACATATCTGAACATTATTTCAGTACTTTTTAAACCAAGCACAAATGACTTTACACTAAAATTACCTACAAATTTAACTAACTCCGGTTTTCCTTTTAAAATTCTCTAATCCTTTCAGCAAAATTTTAATAAACAGAGGTGCTAAATTAAAATCTTCAAAGTTTAAAACAGAAGAGAAACATGAAATTATTAGAGTCTTGTGTTTGGCATAGATTTAGTCAAAAACTCAATCAATTCTAAGGGCAAACAGGTACAGGTTCCTCTTTGCCCTCAGAATCAATAGAGTTCTTGACTAAATTAAGCCAAACACAAAGTGGTTGCTTTGCTAACTTTATACTTAAGTTTAATTCAATTAAAAACATAAAATTATCCAATTAATGAAAGCTTATCGCTATTTTTATGAGTTTACACAAGAATTTTGAGTGGCAACTTTTTATTGACTATATATGTATAAAGTTAAAATCTTCGATAATGTGTCACATATTAAACTTCATTAAATTCAGTTCAGAGATAAAATTACTGTATTTACTGGTGTATTTCTACATTTTATTGTTAAGTTCTGAAAATTTTTAAATAATCACATAATTTCCCCATTCCTCAAGGTGTTTGAAAAGCAAGCTCTCCTAAATTTTAAAATGGATTGGTCCACACAGTGACCGTTTTCATCTTGCTAGTTGATTTCCTTATGAATTTGGGGTGTATGAACACCTTAATGATGAAGAAATTATAGTGAAGAGTTTCAAGAAAACAGATGCTCTTGATGGTTCTGAAGGTGACTGCATTTGGGAAGACAGACTCAACAGTGGAGATGACAGTGACACCTGAAAGCTGTAGCAAATGATACAAAGAGCAGTTCCTGTAGCATTGAATGATTTGAGGCCTAGGGAGTAACAGTGGACAACAATACAAGCGACCAAAGATTCAAAATATAGAAAAGCAGATAATGAAGATACCTTATTAGATATTGTAATGTTAATATTACTATGTATTCTTATTGGAATGCAAGTTTCTTCTAAATAAATAACATTGTGATAGTTATCTGTTCTTTATCCATGAATATTGTTAATTTCATAATGTTCTTACTGAAACCGTGTCCTTCGGAAATCAAATTATTTGCTTAATTTTCAAGCGATAAAATTAGCAAAGAAAGAAGAGTGGGAAATATGTAAGAAAATAAGGTATATTTCACTTCAAACAATATTTTCAAATCAAAACATAACTGGGATTAAAAAAAAATAGATTTTTCATTTTTTTGTTCTAACAAAATACATATAAAAACATCATAAAATTGCTTAAACTGGATACAGGATGGCTAAAAGTCCTTATGCAAAATTTTCATACTTTTCTAATAAAAGATGTAAAAATTTGTACTTATTTTTTTAAATCCTTAATGCTGCTTTTTAATAAATAAAATTATTAACTACTCAAAATTAAACCTCAAGCACATAGGATTTAAAAAAACTCCATTTTCAGGAAGACAGGTACAGGATTCTTCAAAATACAAGAATCATCTGTAAAACTAATATCAGTCTATGGTTAACTTGGCTTTAATTTTGAATTTTATTTTGGAGTGTTTCTCTCCCATACAGCATTAACATTTTCTTTACAGTAGTTAGTATCACAAAGAATTTAATATCTAAATAGCAGAATTTTGTATACACATACCCACATTACATCACGTGTTCTAGCTTGGTTTGAAATTAAAATATCGAACAAGAATGTTTCTAATGATACTTTAAGTGTTACCTAATAAAAATAACAATGTATCTTCATAATAATGCTTTATTGCAATGATTAACATAAAAAAAAAAAAAGTACAGTATTCTCTATACTGTTTTCACAAAGAGATTCAAAGTCAATAGCAAACATTTTTCTGTTTAAAAAATATACCTATATATACAGGATAAAAATTCTCAGTCCATGTTAAAGGAAATACATAATACAGATTTTGGAAAAATTTTTTCTAAAGAGAAATACAAACTTGCAACTATGTTTGATATACATACTTCATATGATACATTTTACATAATAAAGATATTTACAGCATAAAAAAGAAGCAAAATCAAAAGAAAGTTTCTGCAAATTCTATGTATTGCAAAAAGGTTTATTAAAATAATCTTTAACTATTGCAGCAGCACCAAGAATATTCTTTAAATGTTATATTGATATAGCATTAATTTATTACTTATTTAATTGTCAAATCATGAGAAAAATCACTATAGAAAATAAAACACTATATGTTAAAGAACAAATTAGTAATGCTACAGATAACAAAAATAAATCTTTGACCTCTTTGACATTAATAATGAACTGTGAAATGAATGACATGTCAATATATATATATATATATATGTAATATTAAAAGCGCAAGGAAAGGAAAAGCCGGAGCAGTGTCGATGCGTGATTAGACCCATATTGAAGAAGATTTTGATTGCGCAGTATGCTAGTAATGCTAACTTGGTAACATCTAAAGAACTTGGCAGTCGAGGCAGTTTTAATTCCATTTTTATTTCCAATTGATATTTGTGGCCACATTCACTTGGCACTCTAGTCGTGCCTTTCCACAGATTTACATTTTTGATATTGTTGGGATAGAAAGCAAGCCAGCGAAATTACATCTTAGCACAGTACAGAGCAAAAGCTGAAGTACATAGTTATGCAAGATGGAGGCACGCGAAGAGAAAAGTTTTGGTTTACAAGGACAGTTTCAGTTCCCAATGATTACGTCATCACAGCTGAGCCGATCATAGAGTGATCTAGAAATGACGCAATGCAAAGAAGTTATTACGATTTTAGAATAGAGAGGAAGAATTAATGATTATAGTTTAATCTATAATTTTGATTCATATATTTTTATCTTACATATTCCTCCCTTCAAAAAGAAAAAGGTGTAGCGACAGAGAAGCCTTTTTAAAGAGAAAGAGTTAAAGCACAAGCAAATTAAAAAAACATAAAAATAAATAAATCATAAAATTTTTGTCCTGTAAAGTATAATTTACAAATATCACTTTTTTTTTAAATAAATTTTTAATTTTTATTTTAGAGTCCTATTGAATTTTTCAGCATTTCAGTCCAAAAGTCTTTTTGTTTGAGAAATTCACATAATCATAATTCTTCGGGAAGGTTCTTGTTATTACAGAATATCACAAAAATAACTTTTACACAATCATTGCTTATAATATTTATGATATTAATTTCTATACTGATAAATTATAATTTAACATCAGATTTTCAGAATTTATGGTTTCACCGTTATCATCTTTCATTTACAATTCCTGATTTTACCAAACTAGAAGCCTCGCAATACTTCTAAACAAACATATCCATCAATAGGGCTGTCCTCTTGAGCTAACCAGTGTGTTCTCTGCACTAGTGGCCCAGGGTGCCTAGACAGTTACTTGACAATTAAGCCGGCAGGATAGTTTCCTGCAGCCTGAAACCTCAATGGAAAATTTAATTCAGCTCTTCAAATGATCGTTTTGTGATAAATCCAAGATAATGTGAAAGAAGTGAATCATCAAGTTTGTTTTTTCAGTGTTTAAAAAAAAAATAACAGATCATTCTTCTGCTGTGGTGTTTTGCAAGTGCTTCAAAAAAATAATCACGCGTAGTGTTTACAGATTGAAAGTAATCTCTCGATAAAATGAGAAGTTCGAATGCCTAGTGAAAAGTAAATCAACAGTGAATGACCGTTTAGGAATTCAGCATTACAGCGGGTTCAATGTCGATGCGTGATTAGACCCATATTGAAGAAGATTTTGATTGCGCAGTATGCTAGTAATGCTAACTTGGTAACATCTAAAGAACTTGGCAGTCGAGGCAGTTTTAATTCCATTTTTATTTCCAATTTATATTTGTGGCCACATTCACTTGGCACTCTAGTCGTGCCTTTCCACAGAAGATTTACATTTTTGATATTGTTGGGATAGAAAGCAAGCCAGCGAAATTACATCTTAGCACAGTACAGAGCAAAAGCTGAAGTGCGTAGTTATGCAAGATGGAGGCATGCGAAGAGAAAAGTTTTGGTTTACAAGGACAGTTTCAGTTCCCAATGATTACGTCATCAGAGCTGAGCCGATCATAGAGTGATCTAGAAATGACGCAATGCAAAGAAGTTATTACGATTTTAGAATAGAGAGGAAGAATTAATGATTATAGTTTAATCTATAATTTTGATTCATATATTTTTATCTTACATTATATAATATATATATATATATATATATAGCACCTCACGAAAGTGACCATCCATAGCCTACTAATGATTCAAAACTGATCACCAAGCAATATTTCTTGAAATGTCAAACTGAAATCCTACAATATGGTTTTATTTGAAAATAACTTTACCTGTTCCCCACTTTATATTAATCAAACTTATAAAACATTTAAATTGAGATTAAAAAATATGTGTCCATCTATATACTGCAGACTATTGGGATTACAAGTAAAATCATTTGCAATGAAATACAACATACAGATTTGTGACAATATTTTGAATCAAAGCAGTTGCCAATGTTTTAAAAATTATCATACAAGAATTAATAATATCTTATGCTTTTATACTACATGACTGCTTAGAAAAAAAGAAAAAGAAAAAAAAAATGCCATTAAAAATTTTTAGTTTTAAATTGAATTAAAAAAAAAAGAGAAATTTTTCAGAACATTTTGTATAAAATATTACTATAGAAAATAAAAGATCTAGGAGACCATTAAGCTATACATAGCTGTCTCATATGTGAATGGCAATTATAATCAGAAATATTAAAATAAATGGAGATTGAGCAAATTTCAAATTTACAACAGAACTTAATGCATTGTATGAAGTATCTGTGAATTCATAAACTATCAGAGTAGTAATCTGGTAGGATACCAGCAGCAACTGACACACACACAAAAAAAGGCTAATATTTGGAATATGGTAACAGGTAGTTTGGCGACATTTTTGTAAGACAATAAAGGTTACTAGCTAGAACTTTAGCAGTGTACATAGATAAAGTCAAGAGTGTGCGCAATGCCATTTTTGTGCAATTCTGTGATGTTTTTTTAAGTGAAAAAAATGTTGGAAAAAAATGTTGAGTAAAAAAAAAAAAAGAAAAGCCTTTACTTCGTGAAAACAAAATGTCGTCCAAAAAAAAAAAAAAAAAAAACTAGCAGGTTGCTGTAGCAGGGTTGGTCGGCCTTTTTTAAGTGAAAATAGGGAAAAAATAGCAGAGTTGGTCGCCAAAAAATCGCGAAGTTACCATAATCCAAAGATTAACCAAAAAAAAAAAAACATTAGTTTACATAACACATATTTTAAATCACTATTTTCAAAATATGTGAGAAATAAGAATTTTGTATAATGGAACATAGTTATACAGTACAAAATCTTTAATCCGGACCTCAAAGCTACAAACTTTCTGCGCATGCGTAGTACTTATCCATGCGCGTAATATGTTTACGCATGTGCGTTTAATGTATAACGGATGGTATAAGCTAATTATGTAATTATCTATTTCAGTTACTGTTGCATATTGCATTGTTCCTTAATCTTCTAACTGGATCCGGCTTATTATTTTTTGCAGACCGTTAGAGCAATTTTATAAAAAGTAAGCTCGAATTTTCGATTATGTCAAAAAGAGTTTCTGATTCTGGAGCTGCCAAAGGATCTACAAAGTGAAAGCATCAAATAAAAAGTGGAATTGCTGCAAAAAATGGATAAAGGCATGAAGAAAGTGACAGAGAGGTTAGTGAAAACGAAAAAAATTTCAACTGACAAGTTAGTTGGTATTCTCAGCACAGCAATTAGAGGCCTTGAACAGCGGAACTTTGTAACAGAACAAGAAATTATGTCTGTTTATAGAATTAAACAGAAAGTATTAGCACATAAAACGAAGCAACTTAAATAACTTACATTGAAAGAAATGTTTAATAAATAAAAAAAATTAATATTAAGTTTTTTTTTTTTTTTTTTTTTTGTAAATTTTGATACCCTTTAGATCATAATTGCTCTTTATTTCATAAATTAACGGTTTCATATTTTTAATTTTATATTTCTGCATGCAATCTTACCAATTTAATTTATGATTAAACCGGAAAAAAACCCTAAGCGGAATCGCCGAAGTCCCGACGAGTCCAGATTAAAGACTTTGTACTGTATTTGCCCTTCATACTTTTTTTTTGGGGGGGGGGGGAGTTCAAATGATAATGGTGTTTTGGGGTTCAAATTTAACCTTCCAAAGAGGACTTGAAAAGGATTACTGAACATAGCAATTAAAAACTGTAAAATATGGGACAGAAGTTTATCTCTGCTGGAACTATAATTAAGTCCATTGACAGTGCAAAGGATCAGAACAAATATATTTGAAAATCATCAAGAGAAAAATCTGAATTTGCAAAATCGCTACAAATTCTTCTGTGAAAATGATGCTACGTAGATTGCTTTGAATGTCTAATTACAGATGATGCACAACTCTGAAGTTTAAAAAAAAAGACTCAATCTCTTAAACTTAGATACAATCAAATACCTCAAAATCTAGAAATATCTCAAAAATACTTCTTCCAAGCCAAAACTCAAATTAGTAGAAGTTAGCTATTCGACAAACTATCAGAAAAATGTTAAGTTTATGATTTTTATGTTAGAACAATAACTGTCCAGTCACTCGTTTATTAAAATGAAATCTGAAGTAGATTATGTTTTCTTCTGTAACACATATTATACTTTTTAATATTCGAGGATATAAATGAGAATTTACATTTACAGAATTATGATAATCCAAAAATAAATCATACAATTATCCTTATATATATATAACTGAACTGACAAATGTAAAAGTAAGACATAAAAGTAACTATGGATTTCAAAATAAAGGTGAACAAAAGCAACACTTTCTTATTACATAAACAAAGCAATTTAATACATATAGTACATTAAGCTAGTAATTATTTAGTCTTACTGAATTCAACACTATATTTTTATCTGCATACAGTCATTTAATCTGATATAGTTCCAGGATATATTTGTTTGCCTAGCCTTTACAAATACAGCTTTAAATTTCTATTAAACATAAAATAGTATCTTTCCATCAAATTCTTTATATATATAATAGCTGGTCATACAAAATAATGTGATTGTAAATACAATGTAATACAATGTGTAATACAATGAAATGTAATACAATGTGTAATACAATAGATGTGTGTAAATACAATGAAACAAATGCTTAGTTTAACTGATGTACAATTAATCAATCTGAAATAATTATTATTTTAATTATTTTGGACTGCATTATTTAGTGTTTTAAACAAAATCACAACTATATCAACCAGATTGCATTATACATATAATTTACAATAAAAGTATGCAATCTTTGTCATGAATGAAATATGTCTGATAATCAGAAATTTGCCTTAAAATTTTACATTACTTCAAAAGAAAAAATATAATTCATACACTTTAAAACAAAAATATTTACTTCATATACTCATTCATGTCAAGTTTGCATACTTAGGAAAACTTAAAACCTAACAATTATGACATAATAATAATAAAAAAAAAATAAAGTATAACAAATTAAAATTTCTGACCCTGTTCCAACATTTTGAATTAGTCTCATTAACAATTAACACACATATGTATCTAATAATTTCTAAATGATAAAATAAAAATATTTTAATGGATATTTAAAGGTTTCAGGAATATAATAAAAAGACTACTAAATTTAGCATTTAACATTATCATATGTAAGTAAATCGTAAGACATTGCTAACACATATATAAATTGCAGATTTATATATAGCATTTAATCTAAAACGTATTTGATTTTACGTATATACATGTTCGTTAAAATTTATATAGAATATATATATTCACATCACATCCATTTTTTTAAATAGCTTGACTTAGTTTCAATGCAACAGATTAATATGCAAACCTGAAAATTAATATATTAGTGCAGGTCCTTGATTACACAGATCTGTTCAATATGTTTCCTCATATAGTCAGCACATATAGAATTTATACTCATTCCGTTCAGTCACTAACAGAATTATCACACTGGTTTATTATTTTTTGCCTCTGCCTTGCCATGCTTACTCTTATAACTTCTTTCTCGTGGTACCGACATAATTTCAATGTTGACAGGACAGTAAGGAGGACCCAGCACACCCATGAACTCCATATTCCGAATTGCACAGTTCCCACTTGAAGAAAGAATCCTTTAGTTTGAACATTATCCGCTTTACTGATTTCCATTATTGAAGCATCATCACAAGAACGAAAACGTTGCGTCACAGCATCACACCATGTTTTGAAGCCGAGTGTTACTAATATCGAAGCTGCAAATACCATTACAGACAACAATAATGTCATTAAACAGTCCAAAAATGCTGACAAAAAAGAGCTATCAGTTTCTTTTCGAAGCATATAAAACATACGGACAGACTGAATCAGAGATATCAAAACTAGTAATGATCCGACGAACAAAGTATATATACAGTAACCTTTCGATGCCCAATCTGCATTAAAATTACCATCATCACCAAAATTACCAGTTGTGAAAAGTAAGCAGTGGCCTTTAAAATACTGCAAATTCAGGGTAAGCGGTGCGACAATGCAGAGAGAGAGCATTAAAGCAACAAGATATCCTGTTGCTTGAAAAAGTAGCAAAACGTTGTTTACGGCCATTTTAGAGAGTAACAATTAATACATACTAACACAGAAATGCATTTTCCATTTCACATAATTGTCTTGTTTAGCAACATCGAGGTCTACGGTTAAGATACAAGTTCGATTAGATTGTGGCTCCATCTGTAGCAAAGAATTTCAATTTGTCACACAATGAAGAAACTAGAAATTCCAGATACGGTTTCACGTTTTGAAAAGTACGTATGCGCGTAACTAACGCATTTTCTGAAATTCAGAATTTCTGAAATTCCTTTGTAAGAATGATGTTAAGAAGGACTTCTTAGTGCTACTTTGGTAGACGGTTGCACGGATTTTGGCGATTTTTTGGCAGTTTTTCTTTTGGCGAGTATTACGACTTATGATAAGTTGGTAACCGGTATTTTGTCATTTTAAAAAAATAATGCGTGTTATTATACATAAATTCTGTGTTTTAAATATTATTTATGGCTTCTAATATTAAAATCAATTACATTTTGCATTTTTATTTGAAATAAAAATTTTATTGTTTATGATATTTTATCAAATTTTATGCTGTGGATGATGTAATCAATGACGTCACCTTACTTTAAAGTAATTGTTTTAATATCTATAATTTAATCTAATGTTTTAAACATTATTTATGGCTGTAAATATTAAATAAAATTTAATTTGCATTTCTTTTTTAAAATGATTTTATTATGTAGATTATTTAAATAATTTTAATTCTAGACGTGATGTAATCAGCTCTTTGATTGGTTATAGAATATTTGTGCATAACGAGCTTAATCAGCTCCCTGATCGGTTGCTGAAAATTTGTGCATTATCGCGCCATTTTAAATTTAATTCATATCTTCGATTCCTTCAAAAATGTCTCCTTCAAAGATGATGTTGTTTTTGATAAGTACCAAGAATTTTTGTATCGGAATCAAAAAAAATTGTCCTTTGAGACCTTATTTTCGCCAGCCTGGCTTTCCTAATCAAAAGATTCATTTATAATTCTACAAGGGTCAGAGGAAATTTATTTAAATTTTTGGAGGAAACCTCGCTAATTGCTTCTTCAATGAAGTGCGAAAATGTAGATCACAGATGAAGATCGTTAGAAGACCGATTCTGACGGCCCGTAATTGGTATTGTGGTCAGTTTGGAAGAAATAACCGCTGTAACGGTAAGAAAATTATTAGACATTCTCCTTTTTTACCGACATAAATTGCTGTCATTTTAGCTCTAGTGTACGACGCGTTTTTATTTACTTATTTTTAAGTATTTAATTTAAGTTATATTTTAATTCTTTTAAACGTTGGTACGGTGGTTTTATTTCGATATTCAGTTTACGTAATATTTTAATCCAATTAAACGTTGGCGCAATGTTTTTATAGCGGTATTTTATAGCGGTTTATTTCTGTGTTATATGAAAGTAATCATTTAACCTTTCTTTAGTATTTTATACTCGTAGTAAATGTATTTATATACATTTGCTTGCCATCTTAAAAAACAATGTTTTCAACAAAAAAAATTAATCCATTATTTTTAACGATATTTATTTTTTTAAAGTTTCGAATACTTTACTATGCGGAAAATAACGTAAAAATGGCGTTTTTCAAGATGGCTGACGATTGTAAAAACCGCGCCAACAACTGCGCCAAAGTAAATCGCCAAAAATCCGTGCAACCGTCTACCAAAGTAGCACCATTTATTTGCAACTTATGCAACTTATTAACCCCTTTTCCACCGAAAAAACAAAACAAGAAAATAACCCGAGTTACAGTTTTTGAAGAGACAGGTGTAGAAGCTACAGGATTAAAAAGATTATGGAGACAGATGCAATAATATTACTAATAATGTTAGATAGGACAGTAAATGTACACCATTTTGTCCATTCATCAACTTATTTCTTATATAAATAATATCTCTAAAAAATTTAAACACAACCAAACAAGTTTATTCTACCAAAAAATAATAATAATAATGTTTTACAGCTGTTGCCACTCAAAGCAAAACTAAAAAGGAAATTAATATTACACTGGTTGAATGTAGATGAACAATACTATACTCAACATACTCCCACCTTTTGATAACAGGATTTTTATCAAAACAAATATTTAATTAAACCAAAATTTAATATAAAAGTCTATTTTAAAGATCACTTAAAAATCTATTTTAAAGTTCAAAGTCCTTGAATTTAGAAGGCAGTTTTATAGCTCGACCACTTCCTAATCTAATCTATAGCGCTCATCCAAATAGTCATGAAACGTTTTGCCGTCTGGATCACAAACTGGTTTAGGTTTAAAAATTACTTTATGAAATAAAGATTTCATTCTAACCTTTATCCTTCCTGTGTGAGTTGACTCAATCATTTCTTTCTTAACCTGTGATTTAGAATGAATTTTAGAATTTGTAATCTCAACACCTGATGTTTTCAGAAGCACTTTTTTCAAGTTGTTCTTCACCGCACTCGTCACTTTTACTTGGTCCAGTCCGATGGTTCCAATCTTCGTTATCGGAATCCTCATCATACGGAAATTTTGGACATCCTTCTTCTTGAATAGCATAATAATCATCATTAAAAAGATCTTTCGTTTTCTGGTCAAGTTTTTCAGGATCGAAATCACTTTCAATATCATCTTCGTTATTCATTTTGACCCACTTCGTCAATTCATTTTGACCAGGCTTTTCTTTCAACTTAAAAATTTTTTTCTTCAAGTTCTTTTCTCTTTAAATCTTTCAAACGTTTTAGAAATTCTCTTTTCTGCTCTTCCTTCCTTTTAATTCTTTCAACGCATTCTTCATACTTCTTCTTTTTATTATCAACACGTCTGAGAGGATCTTCAATCATCTTGGAATATCTTTAATGAATTTTGAATCCGGCTCTTCAATCGGAAATATACTTAGGTTCAAACATTCTTGCCTTTTCATATCTTTTTCATCATCACTTGACACTGCAATATCTGTTTTTTCACAAGTCGGAATCTCACCATTTTTATATTTTCCTTTACACTTTGTATATAAAATAAAATCTCTTAAAATTTTCTTATTCTGATCCAGGTTTGGATCATTCCTAAACTTCTTCAAAAAGGATATTTCTTTCTTAACATGTTTTGGTACTTCTTTTTCTTGACCTTTTAAACATTTTAAATAATCAGCATCTTCATCTTCTCTTAAATTTGCTTATAAAATGATCATTTACGACCTTATCAATTTCACTTCTAGATTTCAATTCAAAGGGATCTGTAATGCCAATAGCTTCTAATTCCCAAAAGCTTCTGATATCTTGATTGTGAATTAAGAGGGAGGTAACAACAGCAGCAATAGAATTTGCATCTCCAGTTGTTGGCGATTTGCCCATCAAAACCCATCCGAGTAGTGTTTCCGTGGCAAAAATGCCTGTACTTAATTTCTGTATTTTTCCTGTATAAATATTTCCTGCAAAGTCTGAGCCTATCGAAAGATCAATCTGTGGGTTGACACAATCAACATCTGTGATATAAATTCCCTTTCCAGCTAATTCTGATATCCAAGGTCCTTTTTGTAAACTAGGTATAGATCCACAAATTATAGGCTGATCTAACACAGAAATATTGCAGCTATAACCAGCATGCAGATTCTCAACAGTTATTTTATAACACAGTTATTTATGATTCGTATCAGATATCCTTCCTCCAAACATAACATGTGTTAATTTTTTATGAGCTTCTGATTTTATTCCTAAGGATTCTACTGTTGATTTTAAAACATAGGAATATTCAGATCCAGTATCGATCAACGCTCGAAGATGAAGTTTCTTTCCGGTACAACTCTGATATACGCCCTAATTTCACCAAATGTGGCGATATGTGTTCTGCGTTGGTTTTTGGCGCGATTGCGTGTTGTATGGCAACCCTGTTGACGTTGAAAAATCTTTTGCTGGAGCACGTTGGTTCGCTTTACTGTCTGAGAAGATAGGGTGGAAAGATAAAATGGTGGCAGTTGTTGAATTGAAGTTCGGCAAAAAGAAATATCATTGTGGCCATCCTGTTGAGGGTCAGTGGGTATTTGGAGGAGTGGAAAGAGGGTCTGGGAGATTATTTTTAGTGGCTGTGTATGATAGAAATAGGGATTTGTGATTATTTGTGAACCATAGAATGAATTTTCTGGATAGTGTGTCTGGCTGTCATATAAATACGATGGTGATTATGTGGAGGCATGTTAAAGGCGGTATGAAATTGGTATTTCGGCTGTTCGAAAAAGCATTAATTCATGGTAAGTGCATTTTATTTTATTCTTGTTCTTATTTTGTAGAATGTTATGTTCATTGTTTTTTTAGTATTAATTTCTGTCATTATTGTTGTTTTTTTGAATTGTTTTAAATTTATTTTAGTTTATTTTGTTGATTAGTGCGTAGTGTCTAGAGTGTGCAATTCGTAGATCTTTTTTAAAGTTGAAACAGAACATGGTATTCTTTGAAATTTATTGTTGTTATGTTAATTTATTAAAGCGAGGTGTGAGTAGTTCGTAGTTTCGTTCGTTGCCTAAATTGTGCAATTCGTAGATTTTTTTAAGTTTAAACAGGATGCTGTGTACATGATATTCATTGAAATTTATTGTTGTTATGTTAATTTATTAAAGCGGTGCGTTGTTCGAATATTCGTTCGTTGCCTAGATTGTGCCATTCGTAGATTTTTTTTTAAGTTAAAACATATCGCTGTGTACATGGATTCTTGTCAAATATTTTTGGTTAGAAACTTTAGGTTTTTGCTATCTAAATTTTTTGTTTTTGTTTCGGATTTTTAGCTTAAATTGTGTGTTCAAAACGTGGTTTTTGCATGTGCGAAATCCGTGTTTTTGGAGACATTTTAGGCTTAAAGGTCAAAATGTAAACAAAAAATTTAGATAGCAAGATGGCAGCGTGGAGTTTGGCGAGAAATTTGGCGACTCGAGGGCGCATATCAGAGTAGTTCCTTCTTTCCTTCATGTTGAATGGCAACCACTAAAGTTTGAAGCAAAACTCTTCCTGAAGTGCCTGTTGAAGAAAGAGTGCTAATTTCACAAATTTTTTTATTGCATTCGACAGGAACTTTTGATTTCTACTTAAATTCTGGACAATAAACAATGGGTACTTTTCCGTTTTGTCGGCGCAAGCGATAAAGGTCGCCAATAATGGTACAACCGATGCCAAACGGAATATCCTCGCTGGTAACCTTTTACGCCTCATTTTCAAAACAAGTCGCAGCCTTTTCTTATCATATTGATTGTTTCTTTCAATACTGGCATATAATTACATAGAATTTTTATCAGATAGCTCAGTTTTATGTCTAAGGCCATTTTCGGTAA